GTATTAGACACATAACTTTTAGAAAAGGGAATAAGATTATCATTGTCCATGTAAGTGACTCCTTCACTGAAGCACAAGCATACAAGTGTGTTCTTCTCTGAAGCAGGTGGCAAATGGAAGAAAATTGTCATACAGCACTTTCAGCTCCAAATTAAAACATATAGATAAACAGATATCAATGAAGAACATTAACATCATTGTTACTTCCAGAAAAGTGAGGTGAGATGGCAACTTCCCAATTTAGTGTGTCATACAAAGGACTGACGTGATGTTGACACATATATTACTTAGTGTGAATTAAATTTTATTTAAATTTCTGCCAAGAGAATTTATAAAGATGTAAATAAAACCACACAGATGTGCCCTAAAACTACATGCAATTTTGTATGAACCATATACATTAAAATGCATCAAAATATTCATAAATTTCTTTAGTTTGTACTTTATAATTTCAGGTATAGGTGTATAAATTTCATCAATTTGAAAACACATGTCTTCAAATATATGAAAATTGTATGGAGATAGTTTGAAACATTTTACAGAACTAAGAAATAGATAATGATTAATAGTAACAATATGAGGTAAAAATACTATTCGTAGTAATCCTGGATCCATAGACCCCACCTCTCTGTCCCAAGAAGCACTTAAATAAGCTGTTGTTTACAGATGTAACGATTCTCTCTTTCACACAGTTCATCCATAGCACCGTTCATTGGCTCATACACTATGCATTTCTTTGGGTCTGGAGTTTCAAGTGATGAAAATCTGTAATTCATAAAAAATGTTAACATGTGGGAAAAAGGAAGTGAGATGTTCTGGGATGATCTTTGTATTAAACTATAGAATTTTAAAAGCATTTAAGTAAGATATTAACATGTTGAATCACTATTGTTTTCTTTGAATAACCACAGCTCTCATGATTCTAGAGTACAATACCATAAAACACTCAGTTCTTCCCTTACTAATCAGTAGCATTGAGGCCAGGGAGTTTTTGGTATTTGCTGTTGTCATTAACAGATTTGATGTATCAAATGCTTTACCTCTATTTTAAGATGTATCTGCTGATCTAGCCTAGGGAAACAAACCAGAGCATAAACTTTGACATTGTATGATGCTGCAAATCCCACATTTATGAATGACAATGAGATTCAAAGTTTACAAATATACAGAAAATAAGCCCAGGATATTTAAAAGATGAGGGGATGCTGAAAATATTGGGCTCCACCAGAATAAAGAGAATAATGGATATACCGTTTTCTCTGGCTGCCGCTGTGTATGTGAGCATCTATCTGTACAGGTACATACACCTCCAAGTACGGTACTAAGACAAAATAAAGCATATGGCAAAAGTTCTTTCATGATGACAAGCTCACCAACTTTCATGACATTCGTGCATAAACTCGGATATTCTAGGTGGAGCCAATATTGCTATTCGGTCGCACTTTCTCTTTTTTCTGTGTTCTCATGGCCTCGGTACATGATTATAGCTTCAGTGCTCCTGGATGCTACCTTCCGTTGTCAGATCTCAGGCTAAATTCACAAAGACCAAAAACGTCTCCTAGAAACTTACAGATCCCAGGAAAAAGCAGAGCCATTCTCCCACCTCCAGTCCCCACTTTCTTCATTATAGGAGAGTCCGATCCAGTAATATTGTTGACTGGAGTGCATAAAACCCTGCTTGGAGTCAGAGACAAACATATTAAACTGAATTTAATCTGTTCTGGTTATAGCATACTTTTGACAACATCAGTGTTGAGAATAAGATTCAGCCTGCCTGTCACACAAACAAATGATTTTTAACTGCTAATTTAGTAGGTGTAGTCACATCCTCAAATTTCTCATTGATCAGGGCCACAAAATCTCCTTCTTGAAGGACTGAGAAACCTCATAAAGGGAGATAGTTTTCATGGTACATTTCCTTCACAGCAGGTCAATGATCAAATGTGACCCCAAATTAGCAGTAACTTAAAAGGATAAATTTCATAGGTACGATCTAGACTCAGCACAGATGTTAGATGCAGCTGGAGAAATTTTCCACTTTTTCTTAGGAACTGGGTAATTTTTATGATTTTATCGTCCATATTGGTTTCATATTATATCCCAGAAAGATGACAAAAGC